TGGAGAAGTAGAACTTAGTGGGGTTAGAGAACCAGAACTCGATAGAGATGGTGAAAAGAGAAGGAGAAAAGCAAATCTGAGTTTTTTGACGAAGGAGAGAGAAATAGTTTGTTTAGAAAGAGAGATTAATAGAGAGAGAGAGAGAGAGAAATGGGGTGGGACCCATTACATATTAAATTTCATTTTTCTTTTTTTTTTAAATAAGAGAAAACCTCATAAATGGTCCATAGGATAGTGAATTGACGAAAATGTCCCTCACTTAATGGGCAGATACTGATGGAGATCCGTAAGGACTAAATAATAAAAGTTTTGAAACCACATGGACCATTCGTGAGGTTTTTTAAAGTTAGGTATGAAACTTTAGATTTTGTGAAACCACATGGACAATTTATGAAGTTTTATAATAATAAAAAAAATAAAAGAGAGAGAGAGAGAGAGAGAGAGAGAAAGACCTCGTAGATGGTCCCTAAGGTATTAAAATGACGAAAGTGTCATTCATTTAACGGACAGATACTGACATAGTGAGTCATAAGGACTAAACATTAGACGTTTTGAAACCACAGGAACCATCCTTGAGGTTTTTTAAAGTTAGGTTTGAAACTTTAGATTTTGTGAAACCACAAGTACAATCTATGAAGTTTTGTCCAAAAAAAAAAAGAGAAAACCTCATAAATGGTCCTTGCCTCCTTGGGGTATTGAAATGGCGAAAATGTCTTTCACTTAATGGACAGATACTGACAGAGTGAGCCATAAGGACTAAACATTAAAAGTTTTGAAATCATAGGGACCATCCATGAGGTTTTTGAAAGTTAGGAACAAAACTTCAAATTTTATGAAACCACATGGACCATTTATGAAGTTTTGTCTTTTTATTTTTGTAGGAAATGATTTAGTAATTGTTCCTAGTTTATGTATTTAACTAGGCGAATGTCCTCGCGTTGTGCAAAAACACCTATATAGTTGAAATCTTTACAAATATATGTTTTCTTAAATATAACAATAACGTTTTTGTGAAATTTGATATAATAATTCATATACTAAGTTGATATAATATATTGATTATTTTGAATTATATAATAATATATGCACCTATTAAAATGGATAATCTCAATCGTTTGAATGACTTCTATCCGCGGGTTACTCATGAATTAAAATAAAAAATAATATATGGCTTAATGTTATTTATAGTTGTTGTTATTGTTAATTAATTTTTTAAAATTTATTAGCTTAGCGTTTGAATTTCTATCATTGTAATTATTTAAAACATCAAATCTTGTTGTTTGTTTTTCAAAGTAACAATATAACCATTTATATAGTGTTATTTTTAGATATTGTTATTGTAAGCTATTTATTTGAAACTTTTTAATGATTATAAAAATATCTTTAGAAAATATTTTAGTTAAATTGAGATTACAATTTAGGTTTTGCATTTAAAACTACATTTTATCACTTTTAACTATTCACAAAATATTCTTTGAGTTTCTTTAAGTGGAACTGAAATCTATATTTAAGTTGACCATTTAATTTTATATTTAAATTAAAATTTTAAGTATTTTATCCAAACCGTTCAAAAGTTGTCACTTTAAACTGATAATGGTTTATATACAACAACATATTAAATCTGTTAGATTAAGTATAATATGTTAATAGTTAAAGATATAAGTCTATAACTTTATAAGTAGAAGTAAATATACTATTTTAATATTAAAATTTAGTTTATTCATTATTACATTTTCGATTTGATATTTATTTAACATTATTAACCAACTTATAATTATTATTAGAAAGACACTACAATTTATCACATTTAACTATTAACAAAATATTCTTTGGACTGTTTAAGCCGAATTAAAATTTATATTTAAGTTGACAATTTAAGTATTTTATACATATAGTTTAAAAATTGTAGCTTTAAAATGATAATAGTTTACATACAACAACATTTTAAAACTAGTATATTAAGTATAATATGTTAAAAGTTAAAGACATAATTTTATAAGTAAAAATAAAGATATTATTTTAATATTAAATTTTAGTTTATATATGATTACACTTTAGGTTATATATTTATTTAACCTTATTAACCAAATTATAATTATTATTAGAAAGAAATTGAAAAATCATGGGTGTTTCAAATGAATATGGTGAAAGGAAAAATGAATGGGAGTTTCAAATGAATGTAGTAAAAGGAAAAATGTTTCATTTATAAGTATACTAGACGAATTCCCGCACGTTGTGCAGCGTAGGTTAAAAATGTTTTGTTAAAATGTTAAAAAAAAAATATGTTTAAAATGATTATGTTATTGACATTTAACTTTTACATGATATTTTGAACAATATTATTCATTGACAGCAACTCATCTTCCTCGCTAGTAAAATTAAATATAATTATCTATTTAATACTATTTTTAACAATTGTTATGATTGATTAACTAAAATTTTTACTTATGCGATTATTTTCTAATTTCAATGATGATGTTCGTTTAAAATACTATTTATTTGTTGTTAACGTTATGTAATTTATAAATTGATGTTATTATCATTTATAATTATTGTTCTTTAGTTTTAAACCACTTATTATTATTATTAAGTTAAAGAAGATTTTTAAGAAACACTTAATATTACTATTAAAATATGAAACACACTAAACAATAAACTCATAAGATAGAGGATTTGTATTTCAAAAGAGATTTGCATGGATAATATGACATATTCATGATTTTTATAATTTGACTTTATTATTTATAAGTATTGTTCATTTGTTTTAACACCACTTATTATTATTAATAAACGAAATAAGACTTTTAAAAGAGACTTATTACTATAATTAAAATGTTAAATATATACTAAAATATAAAGTGATATGATAGATAATTTACGTTTTAAAAGAGAGTTACATAGATATTATAGATAATATTACATATCCATGATTTTTAATTAATTATAACTTTAAAGCAACACAAACATACAAACATATATAGAGTATTTAATTAAATATAATCTATATCACTTTCCATAACATACGATCGATAACAAAAATTTAATCTAATTTACATTAAAATTTCAACCACAACATACAATGATTGTCTTAAAATAATACTTAATTAAATACTCTATATATGTTTGTATGTTTGTGTTGTCTTAAAATAATACTTAAAATTATAACTTTAAAGCAACACAAACATACAAACATGTATAGAGTATTTAATTAAATATAATCTATATCACTTTCCATAACATACGATCGATAACAAAAATTTAATCTAATTTACATTAAAATTTCAACCACAACATACAATGATTGTCTTAAAATAATACTTAAATCCAGAAAAAAAAATTTAAAAAAATTAGTATATAATATACTTACAGTTTAAAAACTTTAACATAATAACATGGATCAAAAAATGGTCTAAATCCCTCAAACCAACACAAAATCTTTAAATTTGTTTCCTTTGTGAATTTTGTATGTGATTTGTATTTGTGTGTCTACTAAAAAAAATAGTATTTTTATAGTAGACTATCCATTAATTGCTTATTAGACATATTATATAAGTTATAAAACTTTTCATGATGTGTGATTAATTATTTTGAAGGTGAAAATGTGTGGGAGTTTCAAATGCATGCAATGATAGGAAAAACATCTCATTTATAAGTATAGTATGATGATGATATAGATATAGATAATCTCATTTAGGATGTTATGATCATTTAATTGTTTTTGATTCTTTACTTTGTATATAAATTCAAAGAGTATTCATTATTTCAGTAAATTAATTTATTATTATAATCTTTGTAAATTCATAAAATTTTACTTTATATCACTGTAACCTATTTGATTATATCAAATAAACTAATATATATATATATATATATATATATATATATATATATATATATATATATATATATATATATATATATATATATATATATATATATATATATCGGTTAGAGGCCATAGCAGTCCCGTATTTAAGTAAGTATAACATTTATAAATTTGAAAGTGACGGACGGCAGGCAGACCAACATAATTTATATTTTTATTGCTTAAACAACATTAGAGTAATTTACAATTTTGGTCCCTTATGTATGTACTTTTCAGTAGATTTGATCCTGTTTTTCAAAAAATGATGTGATTGATCCTAATGGAGCCATATGGACGATAAGAACTGAAGTATTATAAGAATTTCAATACAACTTTTCATGCATGTTAAATTCGAATCTAATGAAGAATTGTCTCTTGCAATTGATGATCGATGAGGATCTATCAATATTGTGGTCACCTAAATGGCACATCTCCGAATCTCTCTTTTGTTTAGAACTCTATTTGTGTTCCAAAAGTGAAAGTAGAGGCAGACGATTTTGAAATTTCAAATAGGGTGTAAGAAAAAGATGTTAGAGATTACTTTTAAATTCTCTAAATTCAGTTACAATTTCTTCCTAGATGTTTATGTATGTGGGTTTGATCCTCTCTTTGTTTTTTAACATCCTGGAATCCTAATTTCCAAGTGGTGGTGGTAGCCAGCGAGTTGTGGTAGTGGTAGTCAAATAAAAAGAGAGGAATGAGATGGATGAGATTATGGGATGGGTTAGCTTGGTCATTCAAATTTAATTAAAAAAAATGTTAAAAGAACTAAACCTTTGACTTATCATAAAAAACAGACCAATTTAACATTTATTTGTTATGTTGTATAATTAAATATTAATAAACTAACTGTTATATTATGTTATGTTTATCGTATCATGTCTTGTTAGTTAAAAAAAAACATCGAGTCCTGTTGTGTTTGTATTACATAAAACATTGTCGTGTCGCATCAAACAAAAACACTACACGATGACCTGATTAACAACCCCTAATAATATCTTCTCATTCAAGAATAAACAAATATGGCTCTATTCGGAGATTTATCCCTTAAAATTATATAAATTTAAAGCACCCAAATCAGATAAAAACTAGAATGCAGTCTTTGTAAGAAATTTACACAAAAATCTGTGTCTAAAACACCATTCAATAACGTAAAACCAAGATATACATCCATATCCATAGGAGGTAATTAATCCATCATCACCTCTACTATGAAGAAAAGAAAAAAATTTTAAAAAAAAAAAAGATGGAGAAAAAAGAATAAAAAAATAATACACCCAATTATGTAAAGCTTCAAATGGTTGGTATCATCAACAAACAATTCAAAACCCCCACCCCAAAAGGGCTTTTCCTTTATCATCTCACTTTCACTTTTAACTTTCACGACTACAAAAACCAAACTTACACCTACAAACACACCACCTCATCAAAAAAAAAAAAAAAAAAAAAAATTTACTCTTTTTGAGTACTCACCATTGACCGCCACTCACCACCATTGACCGCCAGTTCCAAACACCAAAATTTCAACACCAATATATATTATATTATATAACACAAACACATCATGAGGCTGATGCTGCTGCTGACGTGGCCTTCTCAAGCTTTTCCTTCTCAATCGCTATTCTTCTCTGATCAGCATGCTGAGCAACTCCATTTGCCAGTGCTTGATAATGGAAGTCAAGCGTCTGTGACAAGTTCTGAAACCTCGTTGGATCTGATACTTGCAAAACTACACATAATTTTATTTTTTTTAAAAAAAAGTTAAATAATTTTTTTTTAAAATATCATAGAATTAAATTAACTCATGCTTTCTTACCTTTCATGGTATCCACAAAGTAAACAAAGGGGTCCACGTCATCAATAGGCGACTGTAGGTCCTCATCATCGCTGAAGTCATCATCTGAGTCGTCATCGTAGTCATCGGTTGACCGGAATGCCTTGGCCTGATGAATATTTTATTTAATTCCAACAAATATAACTTTTCTTTTTTCTTTTAAATTAAGTTGCTATTTTTTTTTCAAGTCAATAATAACAAACCTGTGCAGCTAGTTTTTGAAGTCTTAAACTATCTGCCTCGTCACCATCCTCGTCATCGAATCCCATCTCTCTGTCGGACCCATCTGCCTCGTCATCACTTTGTAAACCATCGTTCATGTCATCGTCATCCTCCTCAGCCTCTTCCTTCTCTGCTTCTGTGTATCAATATCACCAAAAAACTTTGGTGAATTACATGTTTGGAGCATGGAGCAAAAGGTTATGTAAAGGACAACAATTGCAGAAATTGAAAAGATGAGGGACCAAAAATGAAAATTTTTAAATTAATGATATGGGGAACCTGCAAGTTGATCTTTGTATGCAACAAGGAGATCAAGTGTTGCCTTAAAAACACGTTCCAAGGCTTCTCCTGGCAACTGATCGGAAGGAAGTGAAAGCATAGATGTCAACCCCAAACAGCAAATTTTCTTATCATTTTCCCTGAAAAAAAAATATATATACATAAAATAAAATGATTCTAGGGTGATTAATTATTTATTTATTTATATTTATTTACCTTTTGAAATTAACCCGGACACCGTTCTTTTTAGTTTGTTGTAACATTTGAAACCAAAGGTTAAAGATTTCAGTAGCACCAAGCTTATGCAATATATTGAGTGTTAAACATGGATTGTAATATAAAGCATCAGCAATCTGCACAACAATAAAATATATATATATATATATATATATATATATATATATATATATATATATCAAGAATTATTTAAAATCAAAACAAAAAGATAGAAAAGTGAGTTTGATTTATTTTTACTTACAACTTGCATGAGAAGGCATTTCAAGTAAGGTCTTTCAGCTCTTCGCAAGCGTTCAACTGTGATATTAATATAAGGCTGAACCCAATGGTCCACCTGTCCCCTGCAGTTCTGTAGCACTACAGCTATAAGCTTAGGGGCAGGTTCAATGTCATTGTCTTCCAAGTTTTTGTCATTCATTACCTGACACAAAAACGGACACCTCATCATTACTTTTAATCTGACAACATGAAAAATAAATAATTAATTAAAATATTTCTTACGTTGGAAAGCATAACCCACAAACTTTGTTGGTAGTCTGGGTCCTTGCATGTGAGATAGTGGACTGTACTTCTGGATATGTAGTTATCCAAGGGAACAAGAATATCTACAAAAAGAGTATAATATAAAGAATTAAAAAAGAAAAAAGTTGACTAAAAAAAAATAAGTCAACATACTTGGGAAAAAGTCAATAGCCCATTCAGCAAGAGCTTCCATTAGTAAAGGCCAAAGACTCCACATATCCATTGAGATTGTTGGTGAGAAAAAGGTCATGTAGGATACGATTTCCAAAACTTCTTCGAAAACCTCTGTTTAAAAAAATAATAATAATAAAATAGTGAATTGTAATTTTTTATTAAAATAAATAATAAAATATTATTATTACCTTGTCCATCAGTTGTGAGCATGCGACGCATGATAGGAAGAAGAGTTGGCTCAACATGAGCAAAGAGATGAGGGAGTCTGCTGACTGATTCAAGAATGGTGCTGATTGCACGAAGACATCCAACGGCTGCTAATGCACCTGGATCATCAGCTTCATCATCTGCTTCAGCTGTGTTCATACATTTCCAAAATGCAGCAGCCTGTATAATATAACATATATATTGATTAATAATAATAAGCCAAGTTGCTAAAAATGTATGATTTTATGAGGAAAAAGAAAAAAGAAAATGAATTACAAGGTTCTGGCATAAGCCAACAGCATAAGGTGCCATTTCTTCACCAAACTTGTCAACAATAGTCTCCAGGGTAAACACCAGATCCTCGTTTTCAACTTCATTCATAAGCTTAAAAAACTCTGAAGCAAAAAAATAATAATAATAAAAATAAAAAATAAAGCTCTTTATATACTCTGCTTTATTTCATATAATACATACCATCAAGTAGCTGTGGAAGAATTGGCCGGATTTCACCAAGATCTGAAAAACAAATGGTTTTTGTTAAATTAAAAATTCCAAAAATCAGAAATTCCAAATAAGTTTAGTTTAATTTACCTTTGCAGGCTTCAACAAAAGAACGCAAAGCAAAAACAGAATCAACTCGAACTGGAAGCTCTGGGTCCCGCATCCCAGCAACAACACTTTGTAGTGCTTTGCGGAAATTATTCGGGTCTGAGAAATTAATATGGGCATATTGTCCAGCAACCCATGCAGCCTTTAAAAAAATTTTAAAAATAAATAAATAAGATCAGAAGTTCAGAACTATAAAAGAATAAAAAGGAGATAATAACTAATAACATTTACCTTTGCTCTAATATGGCCCACTGGACTACTGAACTCAGGGAAAACATGTTGAACTAACATGTGTTCGAGCTCAGATTTATAAGGTTCAGTTTGTTTTAATTTATCACAGAGTGTTCCAATAGCAAGAAGTGCACCATCTTTTTGTCTATAAGGCTTAATCTCAACTGGTGCCTCTTCATATCTGATATAAAATAGTAAAATACACCATTGAAAAACTTTTCACTTGTTTGTGAAACATGGGAAATAGATAACTTAAGAAGAGTAAAAGATATACCTTTTAAAAATCTCCACAATGAATAATATAAATTTTTGAAGGTTTTCTTTTCCACGTTTTCTAACTAACTCGCTCACAAAGTCCATTGCTGCAGTCCTGGGACTGTATAGATCTTCAATGATATCTGGAACAAGAAAATAGATGTTGAATTGTCCAAGGGCAAAAAGGTCTTTTTCTTAAAAGAACTAAACAGCTAGGGTGTTTGTTCACTAAGAGAACGAAAATCGTGAGGTAACTTCAAAATATAAGGACCAAATTTGCAAAAGAAAACTCAGGGATAAAACTGTAATTTACAGAAGACTCACCATAACCCTTTCTGACATACTCATGTGGATCTTCTTCCCAGAGTTTTTGATCATTGTCATTGAAGCACATAAGTGGAAAGATTATCTCAAAAAGAACCACATCAAGTCTTGCTTGGAGCAGATTGTATGTAGCAGCCTTGGAAATACTGCATTATTATGATATGGAAATATAAAAAAAAACTACAAGAAAAAAGAATAAAAAAAGTGAGAAGATAACAAAATAAAACAAACCTATTGCTCAAATATTGCAAGATAAGATTGGTAACTCTATCAGGTAAATAAGCACCAACACGAACTGCATTCAACAAGTTCAAATGACATTCCAATATTTTCCCAGCATAGTTTTTCTGAAAGTGTTGTGCAAAAGCTTTGTTTTCTGGGTTTTGCAATTTCAAATCCCCAAACCTGTGTAAAAGTTACACAAAATCATTCAGATGTTTATAAAGTCAAAAAGTCAAATTTATAAAGATGAATCTGACTCACCGAGTATAGAGGCGATTTAATATATGAACAGTCCACTTCTTTACCTTCCACCATCCCCATGACTTACGAAGGTCTGGATCAGCAGGTTGACCCTCTAATGGAACAGGTCTCTCCAATATATTCAAGAAAAGAATCATCCAAGCATTGAACACATTTGGATCAAACAATTTCTTTGGAATCTCCAGCTGGATATCATTTTATTGTAAGAAGTAAGAAGCAACTGATATACTCTCAGTAGAAGTATATTTCAATGAAGTAACTTACATAAATGGAAGACCAATATATTTTGCAAATGAGCTTAATCAAATCTGCTACTTCTATTGATGGATTTCCTATCTGTACAAGCCTGCTAAAGATATTGAGCAGATGAGGAAATGTCTCCTCAACGACATGATGAACAGGTGTCCTCTCTTCATCTGACTTGAACCTACGTATAGAAAGTTATAAGTTACATACATTGATCAAGATTCAAAAGCCCACATATCAACATTAGTGAACTTACTCGTATTTTCTAGAAAGAATTCTTAGCACAAATAGAGCTCCAAAAACTTGCTGCCCTTGCAAATTAAGTGTCACCCAATGCAAAAGACCTGGCCATTGTTCAGGATAATCAGCATGTATGATTGTCTTGAGACACTCTCCCAACTGTGCCCTGTAAAGTGTAAACAGAATATGATGAATTGTTGATAAAGAACAAAAGAAGCAAATATCTAAAGTAATTGTCTTTACCTCAACAATGTAGGGACTTGTTCTACAAAAACAAGGATGTTCTGCCTCACCAAATCCTTATCACTTGGCAAAATCTTGGATTGTTCATCTACGTTAGCAAAGATTGTATTAAAGGATGTTCAGAAGTTGGCAGGTGTTCAAGCTAAATTTTCTCCAAAACAGGAGGCATTAAGTTGTATGGATGCAGTTCAGTAGGATCAAATTGAAGTGTATTATAGAAAACATGTACCTGGATCATGAGGTGACCAGTTTTCTGCTATGAAGTTCTTAAAATGAATGCTTGCAACCTGCCTCACTGCCAAATCACAAGTTCCATCTACTATTATCTGCAGCAGCCTCACCAAATGCTGAGGAGTATACTGATACTGAAAAGGAAAATTATTTCCAAATTAACATGGTAAACTCGCACAAAACAAACGGAAAACTAAAATTAGATGACTCCTTCACTATAACAAACTGTTTAATTCATCGTGAAAGTAAGATTCCATCCACAAACACAAAATTCATGATATTTGGCCAAAATCGAGTCGGTAAACAGAATTGAGATTCACAGATAAGTAACACAATGAAACAGAGTACATCACTACAGAATCAAAACGAACGAAACAGCAAACACTTGTAAATCATCATCCAAATCAATCATAATGATTGAATACGATTTCCAATGTAACTTCGATCCAAATGAGAAGTAAATACCTTATTGAGGCTCTCTTCAGCGGCTTTTCTTTCAGCAGGATTGGGACTAAGTGCTGCTTGTAGAACAACAGCTAGACTTGGAAGATCCATGTCAGTGTCTTTTGAATCAGAAGGATAACGATTTTGGAAATCGTAGAAGGATTGTGAAGGAAGTGGTGACAGAATTCCTCTAGGGTTTACAGAAATCTGCAAGGACGACTATGGAGGAAAGAAGGAATAAAAAGGAGCTGTATGGAAATCATTAGGGTTTAGAGAGACAGCAGGTCAGCAGCAGACCATTTTGGTTGTTTAGCTACTATTGGTTCACGGCGTAGGCGAGTCATCTCACGCGCTGTTTATCTTAAGGAATAAATAAGTTTATCTTCCTAAAATTCATGTTAAAAAGATATTTGAAAAAATTTAACCATCGTATAATCTGATTTACCATGAAAATTTTGGCATTAGTTAGGTACTGTTTTTATGAATAACTTTAAAATGATGCTTAAGATGTTATAGTTAAGAAATTATTATTTTTTAACATACTCAAATTACTAGAATAAGAGCATTAATATAGTTTAGATGGTAAAATCATACTACAACCAATTAACTTTGTCTAAGAACCAATTTTTTTTAATTTATGTAAAAGCTACACTTTAATAAAACTAAACGGCAAAATGTTAAAGTAAAAAATGTTTAACAAACGAAATTAATGTTGTCAAGATCTAGATGTTATCTACGATTGTTTTCTGTTTTAAATCTACGATTGTTTTCTGTTTTGAAAAAATATGACTCGTAAAATCATATCAGAATCAAAATACCATACCATAATAACTAATTTCTTTCGTATATCTAGTAATTTATATCAAAGATCAGCTCAAGTAAAATTCACAAAAGGATTTGAACTTGAATTTCAAATTTTAGAGAATCATAGATGAAATTTTCCAACATTAGATAAGAAATACTTGCGATATACAAGAATATAAGACCCAAATTTTAGAGTCATCGGTGAAATTTTCCAACATTAGATAAGAAATACTTGCGATATACAAGAATATAAGACCTCATAATGATACATTAATAGTATTTCTTATTCTAAAGTAAAATAGCTCAAAATATTTTGAACACAAACGTTGTAAACCCAACAAGGGAGAGTGGTGTGTTGAGTGTCAGTGAACGGAATAGTTTTCAACGTTTAATTTGTTGATGGTTGGTATCGTCGACAGATAGAATGGGGAAGACATGGGACGAAGTCATTGGAGGGAGTAGTTGAAGAAATAAGGTATGTAAGATTGATAAAGAGACGTGCATGGGAAACCTATGGAGATGTAGAATCTACATTGTAAATAAGTATTTAACATTTATTAAAAGTTTGAAATTAAAATTACATGGGTCTATGAAAGTTCTGGAAAAACCTTCGATCATGACATATTGTCGATTTCGGTGGAATTAAATTTCTTTAGTTTTTGCAATCATATACAAGAATTCATGGTAATTTTATTATGATTCCCATAAAAACTCATAAAATACCCCCAACCAAACGGCCTAGCTAAAAGAATGGTACAATTTGACAAATGTAACGCCTACTTTTCAAGAATGTTTATATCAAATTTATTTAATTCAAGTATTTAAAGATAGTAGGATTTGTGACATTTTCATTTTCATGGCCTGAAAAGACATTTGTTTTATACTTATTTTAAAACATAGTATTCTTTAAATTGCAGAATTTGTCCCATAAAAGTATTTTTGAATAAATATTTTTCATTGATTATTAAAAACTTTGGATATCATAACTAATACAAGAAACATATCAATAAACATAATCGTTATAGGGCTTACAATATCTTATTATACTAATAGTTTATATCTACTCGAGTCTCTCATCAGATCATTATTCATGTACAGTTGTACCGATACTTGTGATACAAATAAATTGAGTGGGTCAGGGAAACCTGGTGAGTACATAGGGTTTCAACCCACAATATTATAATTTTTAATTATATATTTCACAACAATCAAATATCCTAGGTACTCATTCCCGTTATTCTCACTTCCTAATCCTAAAACAATGATATCGATGAAGCTCTCCTTAAGGATCTTTATCAACATCGATCGTTATCTATACTTCCTTAAATAACTAGGCACATCAATACAATGGTACTTTGGTCACAGCTTATTATTTCGCATAGTCGTTTACTAACTAATATTTTCCTAGATGACTAGGAACAACAGTACAACAATATTTTGGATAAGCATAACAATACGATAGTACTTTAGATGAGCGCAACAGTACAATGGTAATTTGGGTAAACACAACAGTATAATAATACTTTGGATGAACACAATGGCATGATAGTACTTTAGGTAAACACAACAGTACGATAGTACTTTTGATGAGAACAACGGTACGATAGTACTTTAGGTAAACACAGCAGTGCGATAGTACTTTGGATGAGCACAACATTACGATAGTACTTTTGGTAAACACAAAAGTACGATAGTAATTTGGTCACATCTTATTATTTCGCACATCCCTTCACTAACCTATCACAACCTCTCATTTATTATTTCACACGACCCTCCACCAACCTATCACATTCTCTTATTTGTTATTTCACACGACTCTTCACTAAACTATCACGGTCTCTTATTTATTATTTTCAAAACTATTCACTAACTTATCACAACCTCTTATTTATTATTTCACACGACTCTTCATTAATCTATCACAGTAGCTTATTTATTATTTTGCATAGTCTTTCACTAACCTATGACAACCTCTTATTTATTATTTCACATAGCCTTTCACTAACTTATCACAAACTCTTATTTATTATTTCACACGAACCGTCACTAACCTATCACAATAGCTTATTTATTATTTCACACAGTCTTTCACTAACCTATGACAATCTCTTATTTATTATTTCACATAGCCTTTCACTAACTTATCACATCCTCTTATTTATTATTTCACACAACCTTGTACTAACATATCACAACTTCTTATTTATTTGTCTCATACAGCCTTTTACTACCTAATCATATTTTAACTATGATAAATATATAGTTTAATTAAGTAATAGTTATATCATGTTGCATGGATATATTAAGCATAGCTAAACATCACACATAACATTTACGTAATTAGAATACGTGTATCTATGTGTAAGTTGAAATTAACCATGCACTCACTTGTTAAAAGTGGATGATTAGGGATTTGGGTAGCGCTCCGCCTAACACCTAAGCTTTTCATTTGACGTGACCTAACTACGATCAATATTAAGTCTTAGTCTAACGTTCCTGGTGACTAATGATAGTCTAGATTCCTCACTAATACTAATGTTTACATCAAGATCTATTAAGTAAAGAACAACCAAGTAGAATCATATCGGAGGTAGTGTCTGTTTGGTATATAGATTATACTGTTTGGATATCCCACTTTAAACACCCCACTAAATCCAGCCTAGACATCATCCATGTATGTAGATCAATCAGTATTATAACATGAAATCATTGTTAAATCTTATTTATAGATTCATAATAACAGTTATGATTATAAATATAAGTTACATTGAAAGCAATATAAGTGTAGATTAACTTACAAAGATTTTCCTGGCAAAAGTCTAGTAATTACACTGGAAGAACTTTGATTTTAGAGCTTTTATTATTCGGGCTATTAGAGACTTCTGATAGCTAACATACCCTAGAATCTAAAGAAAAATATCAAACCAAAGGATACAGAGTTTAGAGGAATTGCTCCTGAAATGTCTGAGGAGAAGTGAGGGTCTGGAATGCTATTTACAACCAAATTTTATTGGATACGCGTCGCCCACAGACCAGGCACGCGTCGTACCTTGGCTCTGGTTGGCCGCTCTCCTCGCAACATGTGGCATCCTCTAACTAGTTCGATGCGGCACTGGATAAGGTAGAAGAAGAAAATTTATATGAGTTTGGAAGACTGCGTGATAAAACTTTGTCAGACGATGAAGAATCAGATGATGGCTGGTCAGAAGATGAGTTCACACACGAACAAAAAAAGCTTCAGACATCTTTTACGGCATGCCTCCCAAACCTGATTGTCATGATCTTATTCTTGAACCCTGACCATCTCACAGTTTACGTCAAATGATGATATGTTTGTTTGTCAAACGTATGATAAGAAACAACAACTAATATTTTTGTTGAGTCTTAAAGAAACTAGAGAAAAGTTTCATTTTAAGAACATATATTTTACAAAAACCGTTAAGATGTATATTGTGGAATTGAGAACTATAATTGGCGTTTATATGCAAAACGCCTTGATTCGACTGATAAATTTGAAATCAAGACTTTCAACAATGTGCACACATGGTCATCATTACAGATACACCCAAATCATAAGCACGCAAATAAAAAGTCATGGGTACTATATTTCATGAGGCTATGGGAAAATCCGTTTGAAGGTTTGGAGGCCTAATGAAATATCAAGGGATTTGAATGTTTTGCTAGATATCAATGTAAGTTACAAACAAGCTTGGCGTGAAAAACAATATGCTATAGAACTGTGGTTAGGATCATCTGAAGAATTTTTTTCCAAACTTCCTATTTATTTTCACAATTTGGAGAAGCATAATCCTGGTACAGTAGCCTATATACAAACAGATTTTGAAGATTGTTTCGAGTGTTATTTTTATGCCATTGGGAGCACAGTAAATACAAATAACTTGTTGTTATTTAATATATACTAATTTGTAAAAAGAATGTAGAGTGTTTATGTGTTCCATACAAATATATTGCAGATATGAGCGTTCAAACGTTTTTGTCGTAAGTCATAGTTATGGATGGTGCCCATTTGAAAGGGGGGTTTTAAGGGAACCATTTTGCATGCAGTAATTATGGATGGGAACAACCAGATAGTGCCCGTTGCACACGGAATATGAAAAAAGGGGAGTGGTCTTACTTGCACATGGTTTCTTGAAAATTTTGTATGAATGCATTGGTGATTGTCAAGATTTGACCTTTGTAACTGATAGAGCCGATGCAATTCGGGTTAGTATTGAAAATGTTTCCCAAACACTCATCATGGCATGTGTGCTTTTCATCTACTAGGAAACATAGTACACCGGTTTGGGAAAAATGATAAAAGAAAAGTCTTGTTTTGGAGGCTTTTGAGAGCTTTCAAAATAAATGTATTTGAAGATTTTTGGTATAGATTTAGTTCTACTAAGCCACAAGTAGCGGCGTACCTAAGTGATATTCCATGTGCTAAATGGACTAGAGCATATTCCCTGTTGAAATTATATAATTACATGACCTCCAATAGTGCAAAGTCCATGAATGCTTTATCTGTAGATGCAAGGAATATGCCTAT